ATGTCGAGCATCTGAAAGTCGTGTTATCTGTGTTGAAAGAAAAGCAGTTGTATGCGAAACTTTCTAAGTGTGAGTTTTGGTTGAAGGAAGTGAGTTTCCTTGGGCATGTAATTTCAAGTAGAGGTATTGCGGTTGATCAGTCGAAAGTTGAAGCGGTATCGCAATGGGAGACTCCGAAGTCAGTTTTTGAGATTAGAAGTTTTCTTGGGTTGGCCGGTTATTATCGGAAGTTCATTGAAGGATTTGCTAAGCTATCATCGCCGTTGACACAGTTGACTCGGAAAGGTCAGGCTTTCGTTTGGGATGCCAAGTGTGAAGGAAGTTTCCAAGAGCTTAAGAGGAGATTAACAACGACCCCTGTTTTGATTTTGCCAAATCCGGAAGAACCATTTGTTGTGTATTGTGATGCTTACTTGATGGGTTTGGGAGGTGTGTTGATGCAGAATAACCAAGTTGTAGCTTATGCTTCGAGGCAAATCAAAGTACATGAGAAGAATTATCTGACACATGACTTAGAGTTGGCCGCCGTTGTATTTGTGTTGAAACTTTGGAGGCATTATTTATTTGGTTCGAGATTTGAGGTGTTTAGTGATCATAAGAGTTTGAAGCACCTCTTTGATCAGAAGGAATTGAATGCAAGACAGAGAAGATGGTTAGAATTTATAAAGGATTATGACTTTGGTTTGAATTACCATCCCGGTAAAGCGAATGTGGTAGCAGATGCATTGAGTAGGAAATCATTGCATATGTCGACGATGATGGTGAAGGAGTTGGAATTAATTGAGCAGTTTCGTGATTTGAGTTTGGTGTGTGAAAGGACTTCTTATGGAGTGAAGCTTGGTATGTTGAAACTTACTAGTGGTATTCTGGACGAGATCCGAGAAGGACATAAATCAGATTTGAGCTTAGTTGATCGGTTGACTTTGATCAATCAAGGCCAAGGTGGTGATTTTCGGATTGATGAGAATGGTATTATGCGGTATCGTGATAGAGTTTGTATTCCTGACATTGTTGAGCTGAAGAAGAGTATTCTTGAGGAAGGGCATCGTAGTGGATTAAGTATTCATCTGGGTGCTGCTAAGATGTATCAAGATTTGAGGAAAATATTTTGGTGGCCTCGTATGAAGAAGGATATTGCAGAGTTTGTGTATTCTTGTTTGACTTATCAGAAGTAGAAGATTGAACATCAGAAACTGTCAGGTTTGATGCAACTGTTGTCTATTCCTGAATGGAAATGAGATGACATTTCTATGGATTTTGTGTCCGGTTTGCCGAGGACGCAGAGTAATTTTGAAGCCATATGGGTTATTGTGGATAGATTGACCAAATCTGCTCATTTTATCCCTATGCGCATGGACTATCCATTCGAGAAATTGGCGAAGTTGTACATTGAGAGGATTGTCAGTTTGCATGGTATTCCATCTAGCATTGTGTCAGATCGAGATCCATGGTTCACTTCGAGATTTTGGGAGAGTCTGCAGAGTGCTTTGGGTACGAAGTTGCGTTTGAGTTCAGCTTATCATCCTCCGACAGATGGTCAGACAAAAATAACGATTCAATCACTTGAAGATCTGTTGAGAGCTTGTGTATTATAGAAGGTAGGAGCTTGGGATAACTACTTGCCTTTGATTGAGTTTACTTACAATAATAGTTTTCATTCGAGCATCGGTATGGCACCTTTTGAGGCCTTGTATGGTAGACGTTGCAGGACGCCATTATGTTGATATGAGTCGGGAGAGAGTTCTGTAGTTGGACCCGAGTTAGTTCAAGATACTACCGACAAGATTAAGATGATCCAAGAGAAGATGAGGATTTCCCAGAGTCGTCAAAAGAGTTATCATGACAAGAGGAGGAAAGCAATCGAATTTCAAGAGGGAGATCATGTGTTTCTTAGAGTCACTCCTATGACTGGTGTTGGTAGGGCATTGAAGTCGCGTAAGTTGACGCCGCGTTTCATTGGTCCTTTTCAGATTTTGCAGAGGATAGGAGAGGTAGCCTATCGTGTTGCTTTGCCACCATCTCTTGCTAATCTTCATGATGTGTTCCAAGTATCTCAATTGAGGAAATACATTCCGGATCTGTCTCATGTAGTCCAAGTAGATAATGTACAGGTGAGAGATAACTTGACTGTGGAGACATCACCTACGCGGACAGAGGACCGGAAGTCGAAGCAACTTCGAGGCAAAGAGATTGCTTTGGTGAGGGTCGCTTGGGGAGGACCGGCTGGTGGGAATGTAACGTGGGAGCTGGAGTGCCAGATGAGGAAATCTTATCCAGAGTTGTTCGAATCAGGTAACATTTTCGAGGACGAAAATTCCTAAAGTGGGAGAGAGTTATAACAACCCGATTTTTCATTAATTAATTATTTGCATTAACTAATGAGTTAATGAGAATTATTTAATTGCTGGGTAATTAATTAAATGAATTAATAGATGTTGGAGAGAATTAGAAGAGAAAGACATACTAAAAAGGAGAGTGGAAAGAAAAGGAAAAGATAGAAACATAAAAGAAAGAATAGAGAAAGAAGGAGAAAGAGGAGAAAAGAGAAGAAGAAGAGGGAAGAACTTGGAATCATCAAGAACAACTCTCAAGCTTTGGATTAATCAAGGTAAGGGTGTGAAATATCATTATCTTAATAATGTATATGAATATGTATGCTTGGGTTGGAGTATTGGATGTTTTTCTACAACTTCCATTTTAGGTCATAAATGGATTAATCGGTAGAATCTGAGTTTTCACGGTGGAAAATGAGAATAAGTGATAGTATTTAGTCGGGGGATGTTAGACTAAGGTTAGGAAACTTGTTTGGTGAGAATTGGCTGGTTTGGAGAGTTTGGTGGGAGTTGGACAGTGAGAAATTCTAAGTTCGCAGACATTCGCTAGCGTGTTCGCTGAGCGAGCTGGTAGCGAACGTTCGCTAAGCAAGCCAATAGCGAACGGTCCCAGACTTGGACAAAATGCATTTTGTGGTGTTCGCTGATAGCGAAGGGTGTAACGAAGGTTCGCTAGGCCTTCGCTGAGCGAGCGAGGTAGCGAACGAAGTCAGTAGCTTCTGTTTGCCTTCGCGAGCTTCTTCGCTGGGCGAACAAGTAGCGAATACTCGCTAGGAGCTCGCTAAGCGAGCAGGGTAGCGAACGTAACAACTTGTGTTTTCTTTAATGTTTCCATCCGAGGTCGGATTTCCGACTCAATTATGATTATTTTCCTTTGCTCGAGGCATCGATTATGCCGAGATGTATTATACTGTGGGTAGCCTTATGGCGTGAATCCTAGATTGTTGAATTAACTGAATTATGGTCTTTTGACAAATGTTATACATTGTTTAATGTGATTAAAAATGTATTGAGAATGCAAGAGAACATATTGTGTATATGTGTGCATTGCTTGAAAATATATTGATGATATATGTGAATATGTTGTGTGTGCAATCGTTGTTATAATTCTTGAAGAGATGAATTATTTGAATGCATGAGATTAAGATGTCGGTCTTAAGTGCATTTGATTGTTGATTGCATATGCATCATTTAGTCAAGAGGCAATGCTTGCTAGTTTCGTGGAGACTAGTGACTTGTCCCAAGCCTAGAAGAGTGAGTTTGAAAGCTTAGAGGACAGGCTTTTGGTGGTTATCGGTCTAGAAGAGTGGACCCGGTTTAATGTAAACCGAAAAAAAGATAACAAGTGTTGGTACCACATGGCATGAGTTTGCAGTGAGTTGTATTGAGTCACATCGCATGAATGTCATTGTTGTATGAAATATGCTTGTGTGTGGAAATCGTGGACTATGTATAATTGTGTGTGTGCATGTTGTGATTGTATAACGAACTACAATGAATTGTGGTGAGAAAATGTGGAGTATGTACATTACGTATTATGTATGCGTATATAATTATATGCATTGATTATTAAGATAATATTTTTCACCCTTCTGTTGTTTTATAATGCTCTATGAGGCATTGCAGATTAGGTTGCTGGAGGTTTCTTTTGGCGAAGTATAGTTTCAGTCTTTTGAGTCGGTTGCTCTGATAATGTAACATCGGGTAGCTAGGCTTGTAGAGTATTCTTTTGTGATACATTGTATATGTATCAGCTGATGATGTTTTGTAAAACATGAATGATATTGTGAACTAAACTTGATGATGTGTATTTCTATGATATCATGTCTTAAGTAATTCAATGTTCTAGTCTTCCGTTTTAATTAAAACATTGATATGTGGGTTTTAAGAGCTATGCTTGGTTTTTAGTTTAGATTTACCCCTTTTGTTACATATCTCTATGAGCAGGTGTTGTTTATGTTTTCGTTTCGTGGATAATGTGATGCGCCTCTTTTATACCATGTCATAAATATACTCTGATGAATTTTTATATATGTGAATAAGTGTTTATTTGCGTTATTTTGGGGGTATAGAAGGGGGTGTTACAAGTTCCTCCAAGATCCATCACCAATCATAATTGTGTCATATGTAAATTGCAGAAGACTATATAATGTTTCATCTGTTTCTGCATCAAGTTTGAATCCTCTGAAAACGTTGTTGTCCACAGTCTTCTTCATTAAGCCAACTAAACCTTCAGTAACAATGGCAAATAAGAAAGGGGACAAAGAATCTCCCTGCCTTAATTCTCTTAAATCACAAAATCCAATGTTAGACTATCATTGTCACTTATATAATTGTAATAACGTAAATTCATCTTTTTATTTTATTTGACAAATCGTTATTCATAAAGAGATATTTAGATAACGAATGGAGTTGTGGTATGTAGAGATATAAAATGAGATAAAAATATTAAAATATTATAAAACTAGAAAACACTTAATTTGAAGTAGAAAAATTTAGAGGAAAAAATAATAAAAACTTTGTAAACGATATGATAGTATAAATAAATAGATATGGTCGAATGTGATTTCTAACAATCAATAAACATTTCATTAGAATCTTGAAGAATATACAATTTTGTTTTTCACTTTATAATAAAATGTGCAATAATTTAAATATTTGTTTCAACTAACTAGCTGCCCAAAACCCATGAAAGCCTAGAGGAAAATTCAAATGCATTGGAATTTCAAGTCTTGCAACAAGAGCCTTTTTTGTTCCTATCTCTTTTGGGTTCAAAATAACAAGACAACATCTCTGCATTGAGGTAGCATACTGCAAAACAAACAGTTAATATCAATATTGTTCTGAACATATATATTTTGATTTTGTCACTTTTATAAAAAATAATTGACCTAATAATGAATATTATTGTTGTGATCCATACTCACCTCAACAACAAGAAGGTAACCATCATCTTCATCTTCACCTTTGGGAACAAAAATTGGTTCACCAACAAATCTTCGACTTCCCGCTGTCCATGTTTGTACAGAATTATTCGCGAGATCAAATTTCACAACGGTATCAAAAGGAAAACTCGGCAATGATTTTCGAGATCCTAATGTTGTTGCAGAATAGAGATATTTGTTTTGTTTTCCAGAAAATGTGGGATTTATTGCTGGAAAATCTGCGGATTTCTTCCATTTCTGTATTGGTTTCACGTCACATTCTTGGCAACTGTAATCTGAATCTAATTTTATAGAAACCTGCAACATTATGATCAGAATATAAAATATAATAAAAAATTTAGTTCAATAAATATGTAATAACAGTTTTGTATCTGATAGTATTTTAAATATGTTCATTACCTGAACAAGGTGTGGCAATGCATTTTCACCTTTTACATTCATTATTGATGGATCTAGGTGTTTTGTTTGCCACTTATATCCTGAAAATAAATAAAATAAATAAATATTTATTAAAATAGTTATTGAGTATTTTTTATAAACATGTTTTTTAAATAAAAATATTCGCTAACGAGACTCATTGCCACTTAAACATGTTTTTTAAATAAAAATATTCGCTAACAAGTGATGTAGCGAGACTTATTGGCGTATGCATACAATTTTTGTACACAGACGCCAACATATATGACACAAACATATAGGTCATGTCAGTGCATGTGATGCATACCTGCATTCTCTAGGAGTATATGCTATAGACGGTGGCTACTGTGTACAAAAGTTAGTATAATAAAAAAATACAATAGTTAATGTGTACAAAAGTTGTATGCATGCACTAATAGATTTGGCTACTGTTGAGGAATTTTTTTTAAAATATAGTTAGTTTATTATTATCTTATTTTTATGAAATGTAATTATTTTAAAATTTATTTTGAAGATATAATTATTTTAAAAAAATTCTATCTTACTATCACATAATTACAAATTATCAACTTGGATAATCTATAATATCTCTCATCATATCTTAAAATGCATTACCAAATAATTTGCGGAAGTTGAACCATTGATAAGAGCAAGCACTAGCTAGAATTTGAATGTCCAAATTCCCATGAGTTTGTTTAACTTCAAATGCATTACCAACATGAAGAAGCCACAATTGTGAAGGTATTTCAAGTGGTATTCTCCAATCTCTTTTTTTGGTTTCAGGTTTATTTGGAAACCGAGGAAGCAAGTATATTGGTGAAGTACTTTTACTTGGATTTACGGTTAATGCTGAAATCATTGGAGATGCTCCAGATACCGCTTCCAACGAACCTGAAATTTATTTAAACAAATAATTAATTTTTGCAGTTGTGCGCAGAAAAGATAATAGTAAAATAAAGTCTAACCTAATACATCAAGTTTGATGCGATTGGCAAATACTATGTAATGAGTATCTGTGAAAGCCCAATCATGGATCATCATGTGATCTGGAATTTTGAACTCTTGTTTCTCTACCAATTTAAAATTAGAGTCATACTCTGCAAAACAACAAGGGTAGTTTAGAAAATCACAATTTAAAAAGTAAAAATATTATATCAATGTTTTTTTTCTTAATTATTTACATGTAAAAATCTTTATTATTAGTGCTTACCTGTAAATGTAAAATTACTTCTTGGAAGTAACATATCTTCAGCATTGCAAGACACAGTGAGTAATCTATTCATGCTAGAGTCAAGTTTATAGTGAGACAAGAGTCTCTTTGGTGGCATCTTAAAGATCCCTGTATTAAAAAAATATCAAACAAAACTCATTTTTCTTAAAGAATCATATATATTTTTTGTATTGTACGAAAATTGCTTTGGTAAAATTCAATCTTGTACACCTTGAATAAATAATAATAATAATAATAAAAGTATATGCTAGGGTGTAATTAACATGAAACCTTTGTTTAATTCCCCCTTGGGAAACTAGGTTCCTTAATTAATGACTATTTTTGGACACACACGAACATGTAGCTATCATCATGTGTGTCTCGTGTACCACTTTGTGATAAAATTTCACATTAAAAGAAATATTAACATTGGAATCACTATATATTGTTTAGTATTCTTTTTGCAATTTTCAAGTTGCTTATTATTATTCAACATTATAGTCACACCACATGGTCATTATTAAATTCATATATATTTTTATATATATAAAGAACGAAAATAACCCACTTTGATTGTTCCTCCATTTTTGTCCTGTGTCATTATTAAATTCATATTTTTTTAAAAGAAAATTGGAGGCAATAATTGATACTTACCATACAATATAGGTTTTAGTAACTTGGCGGCAACCTCCCAAATATCACCACCGTGATTCTCACCGTGATCCGCCAAATCACCACCGTCTGTCATGTTGAACTTCCCGATCGTATCCAACGTACTAGATTCGATCTCATACGGGTTTCCACCTTCCCACATGCACAAGAGTTTCTTCCCCCACATCAATACACTAGTATTAGCAACATTTTTCATAACCTTAGTATTCCCAATCTTCTTCCCACCTTTCAAAACAGAAAACGGTCCTCGATGCGTAAACCTCCACGAGTTCGTCCTTCGATCATACTCCTCGACTTGAGCTTCCGTCTTAATGTATTTAGCCATGTATTTGACTTCCTTACTTGCATTATCGAAAGTGAATGCTCTTAGGTAACCATGGCCGTCTAGCGGGTGCACCGTGGAGCCATGGTCGTCTTTGAAAATCCCCGGCCCGGTTAAATAGTACGCGCCAGACGGAAAATCAGCCGGTATTTCCCCCTCCATGACACGTAGTCTGATAGGTTGAGTCGTCTCGGATCGTTGTGACATGAATAAGAAATTGTAGTCCCACGATGCGGCTATGGGATCATCGTGGTCAATAAATGGTTGAACCGGTTGTAGAATCCGGCCGGGTGTCGAAACATCGGTATTCGGCATGGGTGTGGATATTGGTTTTGGTTTGGTTATTAAGGAGGCTTGGTGCAAAGGAGGAGGCCTTAGGAGAGGAGGAACTATGTAAGGTGAGGGGCTGTGAATCGGTTTGGCTTGCATTTTTGAGAGGTTAAGATTCTTTGGAGTTGAGAGTGTTGTTGGAATGTTAAGTTTGGTAAGAATATGTGATGTATATATAGATATAGATACATTGATATGGAACTGTTGCTATAAGTGTAATTGCATTGTGTATTTTTCTTTAATTACAGATTTGCCATCCCTACTTTTGAATATAAACTTTGGTTGCATGGTTTAATTTAGTTTGGGCTATATCAATATTAATGTTGGGTACGTAGCTTTCTCCACTTTATTCAATTATAACAATCTCATAATATATTTTGTTAGAAATTGTTTAGATGATAGTTGGTAGAAGATAGTTTTAGAGAGTAGTTTAGAAAGAAGGTTTTTTGATTAATTTCTTGGATGATTGTTTACAATGTAGCAAATGCCTATTTGTAGGCTCAAGTCACCAACCTTTCAATAGTGGTGAATATTCTAGAGTTCTCATGATAGGTTACTATCATGATAAATCTAGATTTTTCTATCTTTGCCATATACTTATATATCTAGATTATTCTACCATATTCATACACCTTATAGTTTCTAGGATGTTCTATATTTTGTTACATATTATATTTAAGAACTCTCTAGAAATTTGTAGCAAATTTAACACTCCTCCTTGATACAAATTTCTTTGACTCCAAGCATAGCTCGTACTCTTCAAATCTTGGTCTCGGCAACGCCTTCGTGAATATGTCTGCAATTTGATCTTCTGTTCTACAGTAGTCGAGTTTGATCTCTTTAGTTGCTTCAGCTTCTCTTATAAAGTGATACTTGATTGCTATATGTCTTGTTCTACTGTGATGCACTGGATTCTTTGCCATTGCAATTGCTGATTTGTTGTCGCAATTGATTTTAGTTGGCTGATCCTGGATTTCTCCCATGTCTTCAAGTATCCTACGAAGCCATATAGCCTGACTCGTTGCTTCAGCAGCTGCCACGTACTCTGCTTCTGCTGTGGATTGTGCAACCGTAGCTTGCTTCTTCGACGCCCAAGAGAAAATTCCTGATCCGAGTGAGAAAGCATAACCAGAGGTGCTCTTCATGTCATCTACCGAACCTGCCCAATCACTATCGGTGTAGCCAAGTAATCCTGAGTTAGTTTCGGTAGAGTACCATATACCTAACTCTTTTGTTCCTTGTAGATATCTCAAAATTCTTTTTCCCGCTCCAAAGTGTATTTGACTTGGACTTTGCATGAATCTTGATAGAAGACTTGTAGCATACATTATGTCTGGTCGCGTAGCTGTCAAATATAGGAGGCTTCCAATTAAACTTCGATATTTGGATGCATCAGCTTCTGGTGCTCCATCATTCTTTTGTAGTTTCTCATTTGTTATGAGTGGGGTAGCGACAGGTTTGCAACCGTACATCTTGAATTTCTTAAGTAAGCCTTCTGTGTATTTCTTTTGTGAGATGAATATCCCTTCATTTCTTTGGCTTACCTCTATACCGAGGAAGTAACTCATCAAACCAAGGTCAGTCATCTCAAAGGTCTTCATCATGTCTTCTTTGAACTCCTTTATCATCTTAGTATTGTTTCCCGTGTAGATAAGGTCATCTACATATAGAGAGAGTAAGAGAGTGTACTGACCTTGAGACTTGATGTATAGTGTGGGCTCACTCTTGCTTCTCCTAAATCCTTGATCCATGAAATATTGATCGATTCTGCTATACCATGCTCGAGGAGCTTGCTTCAAACCGTATAGTGCTTTTCTTAGTCTTAACACTTTGCTTTCTTCGCCTTCAGATATGAATCCTTGTGGCTGCTCCACATAGATCTCTTCTTCAAGTACACCATTGAGGAAGGCATATTTGACATCCAGTTGATGTATACTCCATCCTTTTTGTGCCGCAAGAGCTATTAGAGCTCTAATGGTATCAAGACGAGCTACTGGTGCAAATGTCTCATTGTAGTCAATCCCAGGTTGTTGTGAGTAACCCTTAGCTACTAGTCTCGCCTTATGTTTTTGTATGGTGCCATCAGGATTGAGCTTTGTCTTATAGACCCACTTAACCCCAATGATATCTTTTCCATGGGGACGATTTACTAACTCCCATGTGTTATTTTTCTCGATCATCTTTATCTCTTCTTCCATTACCTTGACCCATACTTCATGCTTTGATGCTTCTTCAGAGCTTCCAGGTTCGAGTATGGCCATGTTGCAGGTTTCATATATGTCTCTCAAAGATCTTACTCGTCTTGGAGTAGACTCTGGTGATGATAGTTCTTGAACTTGTTGTTGTGGTGGAGGTGAAGAAGGTTCACCTAGGACTTCTTCCTCAGCTTCTTCTTGAGGTAGTTGAGTGGGTATAAGAACATTCTTCTCCACTTTTTCTTCATCCCAATTCCAAGAAGCATTCTCATCAACTTCAACATCTCGACTGATGATGAGTTTTTTTGTTTGCAAGTTATATACACGATAGCCTTTAGATATTGTGCTATACCCCAAGAAGATACCTCGTATAGTCTTGTCTTCAAGCTTATGCCTCTTCACGTCTGGAATATGAATGTAGCATATAGATCCAAAGATCCTTAGGTGCTTTGCTGATGGCTTCTTCCCATTCCAAGCCTCAATTGGAGTCTTATCTTGTACAAATTTAGTTGGACATCTGTTGAGTAAGTAAACAGCAGTGTAGACTGCTTCAGCCCAGAATGTGTTAGGTAGTCGCTTCTCTTTGAGCATCGATCTAGCCATCTCCATAACTGTGCGATTCTTTCTCTCAGACACACCATTTTGCTGAGGAGAATATGCGATTGTAAGTTGTCGCTCTATGCCCTCATCCTCACAAAATCTATCAAACTCGCGGGATGTGTACTCTTTGCCGCGATCACTTCTTAGTACTTTTATCCGCTTTCCACTTTGATTTTCAACAAGGGCCTTGAACCTTTTGAATACTCCAAAAACTTCTGATTTTTCTTTCAAGAAATAGACCCATGTCATTCTAGAGAAGTCATCAATGAAGAGTATGAAGTACCTGTTGTTCTCGTGTGATGGCGTCCTCATCGGTCCACAGACGTCAGTATGTATCAGCTCCAACAGATCTTTTGCTCTCCATGCTCCGCTTGTTGAGAATGGAAATCTGTGTTGCTTACCAAGGAGACATCCTTCACACACTTCATTGTTATCCTTTATGCTTGGAAGATCTCTCATCATGTTCTTATCATGTAACAACTTCAAGGCATGTGTGTTGAAGTGGCCAAATCTTCGATGCCAAAGCCATGAATCATCAACTTGTACCTTCATGGCAATGTTAGTTGTATATTTTAAATTTAGCGAGAAGCTTCTATTGCTCTTATTCATCTTCACTTCGGCTATCTCGGCCCTTTTATTCTTGTTGTCTAAGATTTTGCATACACCTCCTTCAAAGTGAAGTGTGTAGCCTCTCTCCATCATTTGCCCAATGCTTAGAAGATTTTCTTTTAGGTTGGGAACTAGTAAGACATCATGGATGAGTCGCGTACCTTTATCTGTCTCTACCACGACGGTGCCTTTTCCTTTTGACTCAACCACACTTCCATTTCCTAGTCGAACTTTGACTTTGACTGACTCATCAATGCTTTTGAAAATAGTCTCATCCTTGGCCATGTGATTGCTACATCCACTATCCAAGTACCAACTTCCTCCTTTTTCTTTGATTGATTCTTGAGTGGCATAGAACATACATTGTTCTTGATCATGCTCCTCTGCGATATTAGCTTGATGCCTATTTTTGTTGCGACAGTGTTTCTCTATGTGCCCGAATTTCTTGCAATGATTGCATTGTGGCATATTACGGTACCAATAACTTTTCTCCGCGTGGCCTAGTCGTTTGCATATATTGCATGGAATATTTTTATCTGGATTGTTCTTTTGGAAATTTCTAGGAACTTCTCTTCTTTTGGAAGTTTCACCATAATTTTTCTTTCCTCCATTTTCTTTATTTTGGGACTTAAATTTGAGCTTTGACTGAAAGGCATTTTCAAGTGTATCTTCTTTATGCCTATGTAGTCTTTGCTCATATGCTTCAAGAGAGCCCACTAGTTTTGTCACTGATAGAGTAGACAGATCTTTGGTTTCCTCTATTGTTGTCACGATTGGGTCAAATTTTGGGGGCATAGTAATTAGAATTTTCTCAACAATTTTCTTGTCAAGAATATCCTCCCCAAAAGCTCTCATTTGATTAACTATTTCTTTAACTTTAGAATAGTAATCTTTAACTGTCTCAGACTCCTTCATCTTCAATAGTTCAAAATCTCTTCTTAGAGATTGAAGTTTGACAGCACGTACCTTGTCATTTCCTTGAAACTCCTCCTGCAACGTCTTCCACGCTTCTTTTGCAGTCTTAGCTCCCATAATTCTTGGAAAAATTGCATCAGTCACCGCTTGTTGCAAGGTGAACAATGCCTTTGAATTTTTCTGTTTATTTTTCTTCAACTCTTTTTCTTGAGCTGCATTTAGAGCTGAAGTATCTATGGGAGCGATGAAGCCTTCTTCTACTATGTCCCATAAATCTTGAGATGAAAAATATGTCTCCATTTTAACACGCCAGAAATCATAATTTTCACCATTGAAAATAGGGACACAAATAGTTGATGATTGAGTAGTGTTATCCATGGCTTAGAAAAAATATTGTAGTGGGTTAATAGTATAAGGGAAATATTTTGAAGTAGTTTGGAGGATTTTGAAATGGTAGGTATTAGTATAACTACGCCCAATGTATGACCGAACGTAGCTCTGATGCCACTGTTAGAAATTGTTTAGATGATAGTTGGTAGAAGATAGTTCTTAGAGAGTAGTTTAGAAAGAAGGTTTTTTGATTAATTTCTTGGATGATTGTTTACAATGTAGCAAATGCCTATTTATAGGCTCAAGTCACCAACCTTTCAATAGTGGTGAATATTCTAGAGTTCTCATGATAGGTTACTATCATGATAAATCTAGATTTTTCTATCTTTGCCATATACTTATATATCTAGATTATTCTACCATATTCATACACCTTATAGTTTCTAGGAT